AGGCTGAAGCAGGATTTCAAGTTCAGGGCCAGCCTGGGCTACAAAGAGCAAAAGCCAGGCTGAGAACCTTAGGGTGACCTTGTCTCCAAATAGAAATGAAGACAGAGCTGAGTGAAAGAGTATTGCCTGGTGTGGCTTCAGTCCCCAGTGAGAGAGACTGATCTAGCACAGGGCCTACACGTGTGTCAGTCAGCATGATGGAGCCAGTGCAGGCCAGGGGAAGCAGGCTGAGGTGGGAACAAATAAAACAGAACTGGGCGCAGTGTGCCAAGTGTTGGTTGGAACTGCCAGGCACAGACCTTCCTTTTCTAGAGGAGCAAGAAGTGTGAAAGGCAGACACATCTTGGGGGAGTCTCTAGAAATAAGGGTAAAGCTGTTGTGTTGCATGAATAAATAAAAGACCAATATGTAACATGAAAAATAAAAGATTCAGAGACAGGTATTGGGGTTCAACTTGAAGATGGGGGAAGCAAAACAGCCAAGCTTCCAGAGAGCTCTTACTGCTAACAGGGCTGGGGTGTTCCTAGTCTCAACTCGCCTGGAGAATGAATCCTTGATACTGAACCATTCTATCCTCAGTATGGCTGGAGAATCAATGCTGATACTCACCTCGCTCCTGTCTTATACACCTCCCTAATGCCGGGATTAAAGGCGTGTGATCCCAGGCACTGAGATCATCTTTGTGTGAGATGTTTCTCTTTAGGACTGGATCAGTCTTGTGTAGATCTGGGTGGCCTTGGACTCACAGAGATCCGTCTACCTCTTCATCCTGAGTCCTAGGACTAAAGGTGTGTACCACCACCTCTAGCTTCTGGCTGCTGGGATTAGTGTGTGCCTGGTTTCTATGGCTTGTGGCTGACTTTGCTTTCTGAATCCTCAGGCAAGCTTTAATAAATCATAAATAATATGCCACTACACTGTTGGAGTTTGAGAAGGATCGTCACCCTGTCGGGAATGGGCACACGTGTGAATTGAGGCAGGAGGAAGGGAAAGTGCTACCCAGACTCACACCAGGTTCCAGGACTCTGAATGCCCTTTGGCTTTTTCAGCTGGAAGCCAAGCGACTAGAGACATCGCTTAGATGTTCTCACGGGAATCACTTCCAACCTTGACCTTTATAATACTCTTGATACTGTCCAAGGGTGACAGTGGAAAGAGGCCATGTTCCTCCACCCACATGGCATAGAGCTGGCCTCCTTTGCAGGACATTTCTGAAGCCAAGGAGCATGTGACCTGACAGAACAAGGTACCAGCCACAGAAGGGCGGTGACTGGAAACAAGGAACAGAGGCCTGATGAGAAGCCAGGGTGATTGATGGCTGCCGCACTGAGGACTAATTAGTAAGAGCAGACACCCTTCTGGGAGGTTTTTTTTTTTTTTTTTTTTTTTTTCCTGACCAAAAGTTGGGAGGGCACCTTATGCGTCTGAATTTTGATGGTTAACGACAGGCACAACCAAAATCAAGCAAAAAAGAAATGAACTAAGTCCCCCAGGAAACAGGAAATATTCAGAGAAATAGGCTGGTGATTGGCTCTATAGTTTACTGCTTGTGGGCAGAGATATAACTGGTGAGCCCCGAGCCAGCCAGAGTCACAAAAAGCTGCTGTAAGTCCGAGTGGTGTTGGAAGGAGGCCTGTGAAGCAAAGCATGACCCGTCTCCTCCCCTACTGTAGTAGAAAGATGTAGCAGGCTTTCTCTTTGGGCCATCACACAGCTCCCAAATAAAGACATGGGGACCTATTCTTAATTACAAATGGTCAGGCCCGCCCCCAACCAGCTTCTCTAACCTAAATCAATCCTTTTCCCTTCGTCTACATATTGCCTCAGGGCTTTTTACCTTTCTTTTCTTCTGTATGTATTGCTTCCTGCTTCTTCCACGTCTGTCTGTCTGGCAGCTTCTCCTCTAGAGCCTAGATTCCTTCTCTCTCACCAGCCCCGCCTATCCCTTCGCTGCCTAACTATTGGCCGGTCAGCTCTTTATTAGACCAATCAGACGCCTTAGGCAGGCAACACATCTTTAAGTAATTAGACAAATGCAACACATCTTTACGTGGTTAAAGCAATATTCCACAACATAACCAGATACAGCACACCTTTACATAGTTAAGTAAATTCCTCAACAGAAAGAAAAGAAATGAAAACTACAACTAGAGAGTTGAGATAGGTACTAATGTACCTCTGACCCCAACAGAGGCTGACCGGTCACTGAATCTGAGGCCAGGCTATGTAACTGGACCCTGTTTCAAAACAAAAACAAAATCCATCAAGATGTGGTAATCCATCCCTTGTGGTACTGCCTGCTTCTGTAATCTACTTTCTATTAACAAAATGCTATTATCCTTTAACAGATTCATTCCATTCATAGTTCAAGGACACAACGCCAGGCTCCGGTGAGGACCTGAAGACTGGGGATACCCCACGGAGGGGAGTGTGTGGGAGGAAGAGAGGCCACATTGCCAGAGAGAAAGCCAGAGAGAGGTTGGGGTCAGGCTGTGCATTACAACTCACTACCAGAGCTACCTCAATCCCCCCCCCCCCCCGGGGGCAATTGTGCCTAGTGACCTGAGAACCTCCCCTTGACCTCATAACTTAAAGGTCCCTCTATCTCAACATCACTCACACTGAGGACCCAGCCGCCACACCATGGGGTGGGGTGGAGGCAAACCTCATCCAAACCTCACAGAGTCTGTTAGGACAGCTGAAAGCTATTGTCTCTAAGAAGAAGGCTGTGGTAAGGCAGGGGGCGGGGGCGTGGAGGGGTTTGGTCACAAATCCTGTATCACTTTTTGGCTTTTAAGCTATGTATGCAGGGGATTTGAAAAGGCCATGGCCTAAATCTCAGTGAAACCTGGAGGAGAGGGGGTCAGGCTTGGCTGGAGGACAGAAGCGGGAACTGGTGCTGTCCTTATGTGGGAGAGGTGATGTTTGTTTCCTGAGATGTTTGTTTCCTGAATGAAGATCCCCTGTAATTGGGGGGGGGGGAGCTGGAGCCAGGGAGCCTGGTGACCATTTAGCTCTAAATGAGCCCAGAGGGAGTGAGTGAGTGAGTGAATACAAGAGGGAAGAAAGGTAATGACAGACTACTGTGGAGTCGTCCAGGAGCTAGGCTATCCTCTCTTGCTGCAACCCAACCCCTCACCATGGAACCTTTGGACTGTGGGATCTTGTCCCTGCGTTGAGTACATTGGACAGGGGTGAGTGCCCTCCCCAGGTTTGGCTAGTTGGTCATTTTCTAAGTATTTGAAAGTGTGTCTGGGAGTTAGTCCTACAGGTGGCAATGACAGGTGAGGGGCGTGGCTAACACATGTGGGCCGAGTGGCCCAGAAAGAAGACAGGCTCCGTTCTGCTGGCTTGTCGGGTTCCAGCTCGTTCCCAGGAGACAGGATAAAACTCTCCCTGGGTTCAGTGCACTGCCCCTGTGCCTTTATGGTAAATAGCTTCTCCTTGGTTGTAGAAGACCTTGCCATTTGCTGGCAAACAAAGACCTTTGACTTGAGACAACTTTGCCCACTTCCTCAATATTTTCTGGTAAACTTCTTCCAATCTACTCCCTCCTGGGAAGCCCATGAAGTCTTCATCAGCCCCTTCCTTCCCAGGACCAAACTCACAATTCAATTTATATCTTGAACAACTTGGCTGGTCTAACAAACCACAAACCCATTTTCTCCACAAGGCCATTTGGTCCAACTCAGATCTCAGGGTTCCAGCCAATGGCCCCCAATAGCACCCATGTCAGGAGTCCCATTACCAGACCTCAGCCTAGGATAAGGACAGTGACATCAGAGTCCTCTAGAGTGTGTTAAGTACAGAGTTCCTGTCTCGACTTTCCCACCCCTGAGACTCTAATCCAGAAGACCTCAAGAGACTCCTAAAGCATCCCTGCTTGGAAACCCCCAATCTGCATCACTCATTTGGTGACTGACATGAACGGCCTTATACATTCACTGATCTCTTCTCGTGTTTCAAATTTTGCTCATGGTTAAAATCTTCTGGCCCACATGGTTAGAGAGAGCTGGTGGTGGATCACCGGGACATTCCGTGTTTTCTTATTTTAAGATTTATTTATTATGGGCTGGAGAGATGGCTCAGAGGTTAAGAGCACCGACTGCTCTTCCAGAGGACCTGAGTTCAATTCCCAGCACCCACATGGTGTCTCCCAACCATCCGTTATGAGATCTGTTGCCCTCTTCTGATGTGCAGATATACATGGAAGCAGAATGTTGTATACACAATAAATAAATGAAATTTAAAAAAAAATTTTTTAAAGATTTGCTTATTATTTCAATTTGGTATTCATGAGTGTTTTGCCTGCGTGTATGTCTGTGTACCACATGTGTGCCTGGTGCTTGGATGGTGGCGGCAGAAGAGGGCACAGTATCCCTTGGAACTGGAGTTACGGATGGCTGTGAGCCACCATGTGGGTGCCGGGAATTGAATCCAGGTCCTCTGTAAGACCAGTCAGTGCTCTAACCACTGAGGCATCTCTCCATCCCGGGACCTCTAGTCTCCAGGTATCTTGTAGACCCACTGTGCTGTCCTCCTGCCTAATGTGATGATCACCACTGAAGGAAGTGGCCATCCTAAGTCTTGGGTAGCTGTTTGTCATGCACAGGGTGCCAGGGAAAGTCCAAAAGGGAGGTGGTGTTCATGTAGGAGCAGAATCCCTGTGAGCACCCCTCACCCGGTGCCTTACAAAGCCAGCGTTGTTTGGGGGAGTTGTAATTATTGGATACTTCCTTGAAGTCTAATATCAGGACATGAACTTCCCGAAAACCCGGCGAAATGGCCCTCGGACAGAGTGTGGACCAAACAAGCCACAGATGGATGGGCTAGCGTTCACCAATGTGGACGTGCTGGGCAGTCACCACCCAGAACTCCTCTCCGTGCCCAGGCATCCCTCAATCCCTCAGCTGTAAGTATTGTCCCAGACCCCATACAAAGGACAGAGGGCAAACACCATTAAGAGAATTTAGTGCGGCTGCCAAAGGTCTGGATGACTCGGGAGCTGGGGGTGTGCTGGGGTTGGAGGTAGCAGACTGTGCCCCACAAGTTCTGCTGGGGGTTTGGGGGCCGGAAAACGAGGGACTTGAAGAACAGAGGTTAATGCCCCTGGAGGTCAACACTGTAGGAGGCTGGAGCTGAGCATGAGGAAGCTTCCAGAAGCTTGCTGGGAATCCACGGGGTTTCTCTCAGAGGGCATTGATCACAGGTTTCTCTCAGCGGAGTACTTACCTAAAGTAGCAAAACCCAGGTGGCCAAGGCTGTTCGCATTCATTTGCCTACTTGGCCAAACCCCTGCTTTTCTATTCCCTATCCTCCCCTCTTCTCCCCTCTGCTTTTCACAGAATCTGATTTCCCCTCTCCGACACACTCATGCCCTCCTCCCTTCACCCGCAGACTCCCCGGGCTTCTGCACCTGCGGATGCTGCGCGGGCTCAGGCCTGTGACGATGAGAGCGGTGCCCAGAAGGAAGCCCATAAAGCCGAGGGCCAGGCCCAGGCCACAGACCAGGGTCTCTGTGGTGTCCGGCGGCGGAGTAAGCACCTGGGGCTCTGGGAGAGAAATCCAGGGTCAGAGGACGCAGGAAGGGATCTGGAGTAGAGTAGACGTGGAAAGGCACGAGAGAGGGAGCTCCGTACCCCAGTGCTGGAGGAGCGGTGCCTCCAGGCCCCAGTGCTCCACCCGGCAGTCATACATGTCTTCGGCCCAGGGCACAAAGGTCAGGTAGTGGAACTTCCGGAACCTGTGGTTAGGCTGGGTGTAGAAGCTGGTCTGGGCCACTCCCTTAGTGACTGGCTGGTTGTTGCGCAGCCAGGTGACATTGATCACAGGCGGGAAGATATCATCCACGATGCAGATGAGGACATTGGGCTTTCCCAGCTCCACAGGAGACTTCGGGAGTACGGTCACCCTGGGGGGCACTGTGAGGAAGGAGACCCTTACAGCCGGGCCTTACGAGGGCCAAGATTAAGGGACCCGTCCTCCCATGTGGCCACCTGCAGGAGTGCTCTGGGGTGGTGTCTGCTGGGGCAGGAGGGGACCGGAGGACTCTGAAGGGGGGTTGAGGATCCTGTCCAGTCCCCTCCACTGCCTAGATAGGTGGGGCAGAGGGAGGGCCAGGTACCACTGATGGCTCTGGTTCGGTTGGAGCGTTCCACCAAGATGTCCAGATGAGCTCTGATCATGGCGATACTGGCCAGGCCACTCTGAAAGTTCGAGTATTGGGTGTCCCCAAACTCAGGCAGACGCCACACGACCTCCCCGTTCTTCAGATCCACAGAGAAAATTTGTTCCCCATCAAATTCGTGTGTGAACTGCCCAGAAGCATCGTAAGACTGGTAGAAGGCTGGTCCGTAGGAGCCCATGTGGTCGGCTGTTTTGGGCGAGGGCAGGATGAGAAGAGAAGTGAGTGTCACTCAGGTGTGTGACCTGCTGAGTCTCAGCCTGGCCTCGTCCTGGGCTGTGTGCGGGGACAGTCCTGTTATGCCATAGCAGACCCTTGAAGAGTTGCAGAGAGATGGGAGAGACAGGACAGAGGGGCGTGGCCAGAGCATGAACGGTGGAGCTAGCAAAGCAGGCTGGGAAGCGGGGTGCCCACGCAAGGACTTAGTTTCCAGTCTTCCACCATCTGCTGAAGCTGTAGTCACAGCCACGCTGTCAGGTCTTGTGTGTACAATGGTAAATTTGGGGTGAGGAGGAAACGGCTAAGGTGAAGCACTAAGGGGAGCTTTTGGCCACGAGAGGCTTCGTAGAAGTGAGCGAGGGACAGCAGGGGTGTGAATTAAGATCTATGACCCAGAGACTGAGGCGATGGGAAGGACAGCTTTCCACAAGCCAGGCACAGCAACACACTCAGAAGGTGGGGGCAGGAGGATCAGAAGATCAAGACCAGCCTGGCCACATAGGTAAATGAAACTCTGTTTTATAAACACTTGGAGGTGGAGAGGGAGACAGAAGAGCCCAAAGCCTTGTAGGATACACTGGACATAAAGTCAGGAGTTCAAGCCAGGCGGTAGTGGAGCAGCCTTTAATCCCAGCACCAGGAGGTAGAGTCAGAGGATCTCTGAGTTCGGGGCCAGTCTGGTCTACAGAGCAAGTTCCAGGACAGCCAGGGCTACACAGAGAAACCCTGTGTGGGTGGGTGTGGGGGGGGGGGAGTTCGGAAGTTTACGTCCCAGCTTCCATCTCAGAGTGATGATAGAATGGGCCTCACTCACTCCATGGCAGGGCGGGCGCGCGGTTTCCTGGATACCCGGACTACCTTTCAACCCTTTCAGAGTTCCACAGTTAGGAGCTGGATGTGGGGGGCTGTGTGTGAGGGCCAGGAGCTCACATATAAACACAGTGGAGGAGCTTCAGGGAAGCTGGATGGGAATTGCGTGTTGCGAGCCAGGAAGTGGTACAGGAGCCGGGGTGCTGTGCAGTGAGGCGGGTGTGGGCATGGGTCTCAGAAAAGAGGAAGGAACGAGGCGGACTCTGAATGTAAAAGGGGCCCAGAGGAGACCCTGGCGCAGCAGGTGGCTGGATCCAGAGTGAATGTGACAGAATTGCAGGGATTTGTCTGCAGAGTCGCCGCCCGCCCGCATACCAGAGAGAGAGAGGGAGACATTGTGTTAGCACAGGGAAGTGTCACCCTAGGTCCCCTCCCACCCCCAGGTGTCCCGGGCCCCTGGTACTTACCCTTGATGGCCCGTACTCCCTGAGGATTCAGGAAGCTTATCAGGGTGTGGAATGCCAGGACCAGCTCCACAGGGAGGACCATTACTGAGGGTGTGGGGGGTGGCGCTTTAGCAACGTCTATTTGGGGAGCGAGGGAGCAAGATGGAGGTAAAGAGAAACAGATCTAGGTTAGGGGAAGACCCTTGCTGTAAGCAACCAATCAGAGCAGTTCTCTGAGTTAACGGGTCTGTTGCCGGGTAAAGAAGCAGAGAGCCTGGGTGGAGAAGGATGGAGGCCATGGGTCACCTGTCACTTCATCCTCCAAGAAGGGGCTTCAGAAAGGATCGGGGAGGTCTCAGAGCACCAAGGGGCTGTGCTGGGACAAAGCATCCAGCTGATAGAAGGAACCCTCGGGACAAATTTGGGGTAAAAAATGAAATAAAATACAATAAGAAACTTTAAAGGGAAATCACTGGATAAAATAAACCACAGAATAAAATTGTTTTTCTGGTCATTGGTGGCGCGCACGCCTTTAATCTCAGCACTTGGGAGGCAGAGGCAGGCGGATCTCTGTGAGTTCGAGGCCAGCCTGGCCTACAGAGCGAGTTCCAGGACAGGTTCCAAAGCAATGCAGAGAAACCCTGTCTCAGAAAAAAAGAAAAAAGAATAGAATAAAATTGTTTTCAAAAACATCATTTTATTTTATCCTGCAAGAAAGAATGTGTAATGGGCTTAGCTGCTTCCCCTGAAGGAAAGCTGCAGGCAGTTCCCACAACAGATGTGAGGCAGGCAGAGGGTGCTGGTGGTCGGCATTTGTTACTTCTGGTGCCCAGGCACCCTCGTTCATGCTGGCCAGTGTAGCAGGCTTTCTTGGACCACCTGCCCCCAAGTCATAATTCAGAGACTTACTATTAACTGCGAATACTCAGCCTTAGCTTAGGCTTGTTTAAAGTTTTTTTATTAACTTTAATTAACTCATTTCTATTAATCTATGTGCTGCCTGAGTCTCGTTTACCTCATCTACGTAGTGTCCCCTCCTGCTTTCCTGCCTTCTCCATGGCTGGTCCCCGTCTGGCTGGCTGGCTGGCTGGCTCCCCTTTTCTCTCTGCCTGCCCCTATTCCTCCTCTGCCTAGCTATTGGCTGTTCATCTTTTTATTAGACCAATCAGGTGCCTTAGGCAGGCAAGGTAAAAGAGTAACACATCTTTACATAGTTAAACAAAGGCAGCAGAAACAAATGTAACACATCTTTACATAATTAAACAGTTGTTCTTCAACACAAATGTAACGCATCTCTACTTAAAGTTATTCTGCAACACAAACAAATGTAATACATCTTTACATAGTTAAACATTCTAGCCTGGGCGGTGGTGGCGCACACCTTTAATCCCAGCACTAGAGAGGCAGAGGCAGGCGGACCTCTGTGAGTTTGAGGCCAGCCTGGTCTACAAGAGCTAGTTCCAGGACAGTCTCCAAAACCACAGAGAAATCCTGTCTCGAAAAACCCAGAAAGAAGAAGAAAAAAAGCATTCTATTCCACAACAGGCCAGAGGTTGGCTGGCATGCACATGCCCCTGGCTTTTGCCTTTTGGTGGGCTGTGCCAATGGCTGGCAATGGAAGGACTCAATCAATAGAGAAACCAGAGCGATGTCAGACCTGATGGCCATGCCTTTAATTCAGCACTCTGGAGACACAGGCGGGTGGATCTCTGTGAGTCTGAAGCCAGCTTAGTCACAGATTCTGTTCCAGGCCAGGGTACATAGAGAGACCTTGTCTCAAAAGTAGAAAGAAAATAAAAATGGATAACTGTCTATCCAGATAAAGAGAACTCTCATCAAACTTGTGAAAGCTATTTGCCAAAGATGCTGAAATAAATGATTTTCAAGTTTGGCTACATCTGAGAAATCTCCTAGATCTTTGATTCCAAAGAGTTGCTCATGGGGTTTTGTTTTTGTTTGTTTGTTTGCTTGCTTACTTGGTTTGTTTTGTTTGGTTTGGTTTTTGGTTTTTCAAGACAGGATTTCTCTGTACCTTTTGGAAGCTGTCCTGGAACTCACTCTGTAGACGAGGTTAGTCTCAAACTCACAGAGATCTGCCTGTCTCTGCCTCCCGAGTGCTGGAAATAAAGGTGTGCACCACCAACACCTGGCTGCTGGTGGGGTTTTTAACAAGTACAAATTCCTGGGGATGGGAGTGGCTCTGTGGGTGGAGTGCCACGCAGGCATGAAGACCTGAGTCTGGATTCCCAGGACACAGAAAAAGCCAGACATGGTGGAACACGTCTATAACCCCTGGCCTTGGTAGGGCAGAGACCATGAAACTTTTGACCAGCCAGTCAGTCTAACCAAACAGGAGAACTCCAGTTTCAGTGAGAGACCCCATCTCAAAAAATAAGGTGGTGTCTTAGGGTTGCTATTGCTTCAACAAAATATCATGACCAAAAAGCAAGTTGGGGAGAAAAGAGTTTATTTGGCTTACACTTTAGCATCACTGTTCATCACTGAAGGAAGTCAGGACAGGAACTCAAACAGGGAAGGACCCCAGAGGCAGGAGCTGATGCAGAAGCCATGGAGGAACGCTGCTTATTGGCTTGTTCAACATTGTTTGCTTAACCCACCATCTTATAGAACCCAGGACCAACAGCACCACCCACAGTGGGCTGAGCCCTACCTCACTGATCACTAATTAAGAAAATTCCCTACAGCTGGATCTCATAGAGGCATTTCCTCAACTGGGACTCCTTCCTCTCTGATGACTCTAGTTTGTGTCAAGTTGACACAAAACCAGCTGGTACATGGAAATGGCTCTGCCAGAGAACCAGAGTTTAGATACCAGCGCCCACAGGAGGCAGCTTACAACAGCCCATAGCTACCGCTCCAGGGGACCTGATGCCTCTAAGTCTCCGTGGGCACTGACTCTGGTCCACACACACACACACACACACACACACACACACACACACACACTTACAAATAAAATAAATCAGGAGCTGGAGAGATGGCTCAGTGGTTAAGAGCACTAGCTGCTTTTCCAGAGGATCCAGGTTCGATTCCCAGCACCCACATGGCAGCTTACAACTGTCTGTGACTTCAGTTCTAGGGGACCCGACACCCTCACTCACCATACATGCAGGCAAAATACCAATGCATACAAAATAAAAATAAATAACACAGAAAATAAAAACCCAGAGACTGATGTTGGGGTTCAGACTTCAAGCTGAATATCAGAAGCAAAGCAGCCGGCCACTAGCTCTTACCTCTACCTCAGGCTGAAAGGGGCGATCCTGTCTCCACGAGCTGGCCTCCAAGCCTATGACTGCTGTCTCTCCTCAACATGACTGGAGACTAATTCTCAGACTGAATGCCCCCTCTGCACTCTTCACTCTTGTGTAGGCCACGGTGGCCTTGAACTCAGAGAGACCCATCTGCCTGTCTCCTGAGTCCTGGGATTAAAGGTGTGTGCCACCTCTGCCTGGCCTCTATAGTTTGTGGCTGACTTTGCTTTCTGAATCCTCAGGCAAGCTTTAACAAATCATAAATAATACATCACCACAAGTATTAGAAATAAAATAAATCATCTCTAAAATAAAAGAAATGAGATGGAGCATGAGAAAGAGGAAGACACCTCTGGCCTCTACATGCATGAGCCCACTCTTGCACAGACACCACACACATGTCCACCCACGATCATACAAACACACACATACACACACTATATGTAGACAAAGAGTGTGACTTCAGTGTCCACCAGGTGAAATATAGTGCGTGTACAATGGAATATTACTCAGCTATAAATAACAAGTGAAGTCCTGTCACATGAGGCCACGTGGATGAGCCTGAAGGACATTATGTTAAATGGAGTAAGCATGACAACGGAAGACAGTGACACATGTCCTCACATGTGGACACTAAATTGATTGATGCTGTGGGTATGGAGAGCAGAAAGATGATGTCGTCAGGGGCTGGGGTGACAGGGGCTGGAGAGAGGGTGGCTAACCAGTGATGGTGTCAGGGGCTGGGGGGACAGGGGCTGGAGAGAGGGTGGCTAACCAGTGATGGTGTCAGGGGCTGGGGGGACAGGGGCTGGAGAGAGGGTGGCTAACCAGTGATGGTGTCAGGGGCTGGGGGGGACAGGGGCTGGAGAGAGGGTGGCCAACCCACAGATAGCAATCGACTGTCTCAGAACAGCTGGTGGAGGGTTTTGAATGTTCTCAACAAAGCGGAATGACATGTTTGCGGTGATGGGTGGTGATTTACTAGTTCAATACTACATATTGTACATACACAACAGAATATCACATCACACTCATAAAGATGTACAGTTATTTGTTACTGAAATTAATCTTTAAAAGGATCCCTATGGGGGGCTGGAGAGATGCCTGCTCTTGCAGAGGATCTGGGTCAGGTTCTCGACACCCACAAGGCGGCTCTCATCATCTGCAACTCCAGTTCCCAGGGATGGGACGCCCTCTTCTGGCCGCTATGGGCACTGCATACATGTGATCTCTACACACCCAGGCAAACACTATACTTATCAACATAAAAATCTTTTTCAAAACAAAAAACATACACTTCTGACTTTGGGCCAGAAAATGGCTCAGCAGGTAAAGATCATGAAAGCCTCACAATTTGAATCCAATTCCTGAAACCCATGTGAAAATGGAAAGGTCCAACTTCACAGAATTATCCTCGGGATCCCATGTATATGTGCAGACACATGCCCACACCACATATGGCATGTGTGCATAAACAAACACTCCCAAATAGTACATTTTTAAAATTTAAAAATAAATGATAAATCTTTCAAAAAATTCGTATCTATTAGTTATTCAACCAATACAGCTTCCTGGATTCCGTGCACAACTGAGTGGGATTAGCCTGGAGTGGTTCCTGAGCAACATTTGTGAGCCTACATTCTGGTAAATAAAACACTTTGATGCCTTTTCCTCGGAGCATAAGGGGTCCTGCTCTGAGGGAGATGGTCACAGCTTCTGGCTATAAAGCATAGCTTGGAGGGTTAAGTTGCCCAGCCGATGGGATCCTACCCCCCTCCACCCCCCTATGGCTACAACAAGGCCTGGTGCAGAGTTCTCTAGGTAGAGGTCTGTATGAATGAAGAAGCCACCTCATAGCCTCAGCTCAGCTTGCATAGGTCCTCTCCACCTTAGTCTCCTCTCCAGTGAGCCTGGAGCCCTGGGACAGCAGAACAAAGGGTGGGTAAGTCTTCGGGGAAATCAGGATAACTGTGGTAACTTTGTTTAGTAGTAGTGAGTGGGGTTGAGTGGTTTTGAGATGGGAACCTCCCAGCAACTCATCAAGAGAGGCTCCCAAGTGCAGCTTTGTGGGTTTTGTTGGTTGGTTGATTGGTTGGTTGGTTGGCTTTTGGTTTTTCAAGACAGGATTTCTCTGTGTAACAGCCCTGGTTGTCCTGGAACTCACTCTGTAGACCAGGCTGGCCTCAAACTCACAGAGTTCCACCTGCCTCTGCCTCCCAAATGCTGGAATTAAAGGCCTGCGCCACAAACGCCTAGCCTGAATGTTTTTATTTCTAAATATAAGAAGACTTTGAGTCAGGCATCGTGGCTCACACCTGTAATCCCAGCACTGAGGAGGCTGAGGAAGATTGCATTAAATGTGAGACTAGATTCAACAAACAAACAAACAAACAAACAAAACAAAACAAGAAGGGCTGGAGAGATGGCCCAGAGGTTAAGAGCACTGGCTGCTCGTGCAGAGGACCCAGGTCTGGTTCCCAGGACCCATAAGGTGGGTGTGGATTTTTCTTATTTCCATTTCCAGTTGTAAATTGGCGGAATTTGAAAATACCCGTGAGATACTGTCTTAATTTTAACTAATATATTCGAAGAAGTGAAAGTTCACCAAAAGATGTTTTATTACAGTCAAACTAGAGGAAGGGCCCAATCTACTCCCTTAGGGACTCTAACCATTGCAAACTACATCTAAACAAGTCTTCATCCAAGTAAATTTTACTGTTGTCCCCTCTCCAGGGCCAACCCGAATTCTCAAACTCTCCCCGAAAGTGAGCCCGGAACCCTCAGTGTCCGTTCACATTGTGACACTTGAAGCCACATTGTCACGAGACACAGGTCGTAAAAGACCTGGTCCACCCAGCAAAACTGAATCTCCCTGCTCAGAAACAGGAAAAGTTGTTCTTAGGAACGCTCTGGAAGGAGGCATCGAAGTGTTCCTGCAGGAACCCGGAGCTGCGGAGCCCAGGGAGAAGATATCCAGGGGAGAGGCGTCCAGGGAGGGGTGTCCAGGCTGGAGCTATGGAACCCAGGGAGGGATGTCCAGGCTGTTGAGAAATATAGCAACACCGGTTTGCTGCCCCACCCCTCCAAGGGTCCGTAAGCATGCGCATGCGCAGGACAGTCTGGATCCAAGACTAGACCCTTGGTTGAACTTGGTCTCTTTCTTCACTCACGGAAGCACAGGACAGTGAGGAAGCTGTTTGGGATCCAGACAGCCTGTGTGGCCTTGGTGAAGGTGCTTTGCTCTTATGCACATACATGCTGTGAGCTCGTCTCAAGCGTCAAACTACAGTGACGTTAGTACCCTCAAATGGAGAAGGGGTAACAGCAGGCGTCGGGGGTTCTCGGCGGGTTGTCAGTGTCTCAGATAGCTCACCACCGAGAGATGAGATCCGTGTCTGCTCCACCAATGTGAATGCGCCCTCCTTTCTGCGCAGCAGGCGTGGACTCCCTCGCTGTCGTCGACTGCATCCTAACATCCTCACCTGCACAGTCACTCACGCGGGTCCCTGGGCCCCGGGGGTCGTGACTGGAGTGCAGAGCCCCTATGATGAGCGCACTGCCAATGACGATGCCCACCAAGGCCACCACCAGGCCCAGGGCGCAGACCACAGTCTCCATTGTCTCGGTCACCTGGAGTGGCTCCGGCATTTCTGAGGGAAAGGAAGAGATGCAGTTAGGACATTGGGATGCTGGGCACGAGGTCTGGGGATCAGAGGCTTGGGTGAGCGGTGGAGGAGGAGGGCTGCTTACCCCAGTGACTCAGGCTCGGCTGGCCCAGGCTCCAGTGCTCCACCCTACAGTCATACACATCCTTGGCCGTGGGGATGAAGGTCAGGTAGTGGAACTTCTGAAACCTGAGTTCTGTGCTGGGCAGGAAGACGGTCTCAGAAGTCCCTTCAGTGACCAGCTGCCCGTTTCGAAGCCACGTGACATTGAGCACTGGGGGGAAGAATCTGTCGATGTGGCAGATGAGGACGTTGGGCTGGCCCAGCTCCACTGGGTTCTTGGGGAACACGGTCACCTCTGGAGGCTCTGGGAAGAGACGGACCTGGTGAGCTCTGGGTCGTCACCGAGCTCCCACCCGGGGTCTTCTGTTCCAGGCTCAGAATTCACGTCACCTATGGGGTCCAGAGTGAGAGCGGGGAGACTCCTTCCACTCAGCCGCCTCCCTCCCTCAACCTCTCCTGAATGGGAAGAGTAGCCAAGACACCCCCCCCCCCATAGCAGGGAGCCGAGGGCCATTGGAAGAAACTAGAGACACCCACCGCTGGGGACCTGGGTGACGTTGTGTCTCTGGATCAAGGCCCTCAAGTTGTCCTTCAGGCTGAGGATGTAGGGCAGAGCGCCCTGGGCGTCAAAGCCATAGACTGTGCTGAACTCCCGCAGGCCCCAGACCGTCTCCTCCCTGTCAAGATCCACGTAGAACAGCTCATCCCCGTCAAACTCGTACACGCAGTCACCCGAAGGCTTCTGCGTCTGGGCAAATATGTCATACATTGCTACGTGGTCCGCTGTATAAACAAGATGGAAGGAAAATGAGACAAACTAACAGCTATTGGTGGTGAGGCAGGGGAATGGCTGGATTTATGAATAAAGTCAGAAGAGGCCAAAAGAGGGAAATGGGGGGGAGAAGGAGCACCAGCCAACAGCGGGGCGGGTGGGGGAAGGTAAATGGGGAAGATAGTCTGCCCCTGCTCATTCCCAGGTGGAACCCCATGACTCTGCAGGGGTCCTGGGAGTGACAGGAACCTCTGCTGGGAACGTGCTGAGCACCAGGCATCTGCTAGTAGGCTACGTATTTGACTCATGTGGATGTCTTAGAAGCAATCAAGGAAACTCAGAGAGGGTAGGTGACTTGCATCAAGTCACACAGCGATGAGAAACTAGGAGAGAAACTGTCTTCTCCCCACAGCTCTCAGTTCTAGAGCTATAGATGGGAAATTAGGCTTAAGCTCACAGAGGTGGCGGGGCAGGTGCTCTGGTCTCCTTATTTCAGAACAGGCGGAAAAGACAAAGTTGAGGGGAAAGTTACACTGTTGCAGTACTCTTTCTGGTCGCAGAGTTTCTGTTTTAGTTCATAAGTTCACACCTGCAGTGGATGCTAATGTCCTGACTTCACTTTTTTTTTTTTTTCAGTCTTGAGCACATTAAATCTAACACGGTGGATTTTGCCAATAGTTTCAGGGGTTTTTTTTTTTTTTTTTTTTTTTTTTTTTTTTTATTTTTTTTTTTTTTTTCAGTCTTGAGCACATTAAATCTAACACGGTGGATTTTGACAATAGTTTCAGGGTTTTTTCTTTTTTTCTTTCTTTCTTTTTTTTAAGATTTATTTATCATGCAGTGTTTTGCCTGCATGAATGTTTACACACCGGAAGAGGGCACCAGATCTTACTATAGATGGTTGTAAACCACCATGTGGTTGCTGGGAATTGAACTCAGGTCCTCTAGAAGAGCAGTCAGTGCTCCCAATCTCTGAGCCATCTCTCCAGCCCCCGTTTTCAGGTTGTTTTTAATTTTAAAAAAATCTTTATTTTTTTGCTTTTGTTTTTAATGGAGTTACAGAACTTGTTGAATTTGAAATACCAGTGTAGTTTGATTTTTTTCTTAGTCTTTATTAGTTTGTAAGACATAGCAAGCACAAGACAAGGTATCATTAGTAATAACGTGATGAACACGTGAGCATTCTGGACTTGGAATGGTGGAGAAAGAGGGTGGGGAGGGCTGGGATTCCCCGCTGGGATTCCCCGCCTCTTCGGATGGATCCCTGGCCCCAACAAGTAGGAGTGTCTGTGCTTGGAGCACACAGCAACAGCAAGAATGTTCTCTCAGAAGACTCTCAAGTTCCTCATGAGCCAGAGGAATCTTCTTCATAAAACAGGTGAAAAAGGAGAGGCAGGCAGAGCTCTCTGAGTTTGAGGCCAGCCTGGTCTACAGAGTGAGTTCCAGGACAGCCAGGGCTGTTACATAGAGAAACCCTGTCTTGAAAAACAAAAACAAAGCAAGATAATCATGGAGCTGGAGAGATGGTTCAGTGGTTAAGCGCACTGTCTGTTCTTCCAGAGGACCAGGGTGTAATTCCCAGCACCCACATAGCAGCTCACAGCTGTCTGTAACTCCAGTTCCAGGGGATCTGACACCTTCATACAGACATACATGTGGGCAAAACACCAATGTATATAAAACACAAATAAATTAATTGTTTTTAAAAACCTGGCTTACACTTTTTAAACATTTACACAGATTCTGAGTTCTAAAGATCAGTCAGATGTGACACAATTTATGTGACACAATCTATATTCCTCCAAAGGCCATTTTCATATGTCCCTAGTGCCACAGGCAAGTAATCCCAGCTACAGCTGAGGCAGAAGGATTTCAGTTTCAAACACAGTCTGGACAATTTAGTACTGGACGGTCTCAAAATAAAAAGTATAAAAATCTGGAGGGACCTCAACAACTCAGAGGTGGGGTGCTTGATCAACCTGCATGGGGTTCAGGTCTCAGGACTTCTCACACTAAAAACTCACCATCCAGAAAAAAAATACCAAAAACCTACTTTCTATAAACCAAGGCATGGTAGCTCTGGCTTGCAAGCCCAGCATTTGGGAGGCTGAGTCACAGAGTGAGACCCTATCCCAATGTGCGCGCACGCGCGCACACACACACACACACACACACACACACAGAGAGAGAGAGAGAGAGAAAGAGAGAGAGAGACAGACAGAGAGAAAGAGAGAGAGAGACAGACAGACAGACAGAGATAGAGAGACAGACAGAGAAACAGAGAGAGACAGACACACACAGAGAGAAGGAGAGAGAGAGAGAGACTACAGGCTACAGAACTTGCAGCAAGCACTGACTGCTTCTGGGAAGGCACAGCTCTCCGTGAAGGGACCGCTTGGACTGAAGCTGTGGGCAAAGGGGAATGTCATTTCCCACTTCGGGAAGAATGGTCAAGGCTTTTGGAGAACCACAGAGGCTTCCACAGTGAGCTTCAGATGGGGAGCCGGAGACAGGAAGAAGCAGGCCAGTGAGGTCAAGACAGACTTCTCAACCTCAGCAGTTCAGTGTCAACCTGAAAGCCAGCAAACTTTTGAAACATTTTATGGGGAGTGACATCAGACTGGTGATTTAGGAAGGGCTCGGTGGCTATAGAGTGTAGCCTGAAAGGTAGATGGCTAAAGAGGCAAGACCTCAGCGATGGGAAAAGAGGAGGTGAGTAGCATAAAGGAAGAAGCAAGGAAAAAAGCATTTGATTGATGCTAAAGAGGCTGGATGCTACAAGTGAGGGAGAGAGGCAGAAAAGTCCCGAGTAACTTTCCTATTCTAGGCTGGCCAGAATAAGCTATCATCTATCTCTCTATCTATCTATCTATCTATCTATCTATCTATGTATGTATCTATCATCCATCATCCATATCTATTATCTATCCCTCTATCTACCTCTATTATCTATCTGTCCATCCATCCGTCTATCTCTATTGTCTCTCCATCCATCCATCATCTACCTCTATTATCTATCTCTCCAGCCATCCGTCTATCTCTATTGTCTCTCCATCCATCCATCATCTATCTCTATTATCTATCTGTCCATCCATCCGTCTATCTCTATTGTCTCTCCATCCATCCATCATCTATCTCTATTATCTATCTGTCCATCCATCTGTCCATCATCATCATCTACCTTGATCTCTCACTCTTATTTTACTTTTGTCACTTTGAAAAAGTGTTCCACTTGCCAAGCAGCAGTGGCGCACGCCTATAATCCCAGCACTCTGGAGGCAGAGGCAGGCGGGTCTCTCTGAGTTCAAGGCCAGCCTGGTCTATTGAGCTAGTTCCAGGACAGCTAGGGCTACACAGAGAAACCCCGTTTTGAAAAACAAAGCAAACAAATGCAGGTTGAACAAGCTTTGAGGAGCAAGCCAGTAAGCAGCACTCCTCCATGACCTCTGCCTCAGCTCCTGCCTCCAGGTTCCTGCCCTGACTCCCCTCAGAGGATTGTAAGCTATAAGGTTACAGATAGAGGTTACAGGCATCCAACAAGAGAGCTACACAGGCAGCACCCATTCGGGGTGTTGTGCACAGGCAAGGGCGACTTTGTGCCACCAGTGCCCAGTAAACTTTTTTTTTTTTTTTTTGAGACAAGTTCCTCTGTGTAACCACTGTGGTTGTCCTGGAACTCACTTTGTAGACCAGGCTGGCCTTGAACTCACAGAGCTGCCCCCCCCCCATTGCCTCTCAGGGCTTATTCTTTGTTCTTGACTGAGGATATAAGGTGACTAACTCATTGAGTTCCTACCTCGACTTATTTGAAATGATGGACTATAACTTGCAACTCTCCACCAAATGTCCTGTTTCCTCCTCAAATTGCTTTTGTTGTTTTTGTTTTTGTTTTGTTTTGTTTCTTGTTTTTCGAGACAGGGTTTCTCTGTATTGTTTTGGAGCCTGTCCTGGCACTCACTCTGTAAACCAGGCTGGTCTTGAACTCACAGAGATCCACCAGCCTCTGCCTCCCGAGTGCTGGGATTAAAGTGTCCACCACCACCCGGCCCCAAATTGCTTTTTGTTGGGGTATTTGTCACAACAACAGAGGAACTAGAACAAGGGCCAGCTGTATTTGTTATAAAGCTTTGTTTTGTTTGTTTAACTGCGTTGTTTGAGAAAGGCCTAGGATTGCTCCAGCTCTCAAACCTCCAGCCTCAGCTTCCCACACGCCAGGTGTGCACCTCCACACTTGGCATAGCAGCATACATGATGCACTCCACACCTGGTACTGACACACCTGGTGCACTTACACACCTGGCACACACCCCACACCTGGCACACCCCACACCTGGCATATCCCCATACCTGGCACACCCCACACCTGGCACACCCCACATCTGATGCACCCCACACCTGGTACTGACACACCTGGTGCACTGACACACCTGGCACACACCCCACACCTGACACACCCCACACCTGGCACACCCCACATCTGATGCACCCCACACCTGGCAGACCCCCACACCTGGCACACACCTCACACCTGGCACACCCTAAACCTGGCACACACCTCACACCTGGCAACGCCACTCCTGGCACATCCCCACACCTGGCACACCCCACACCTGGCACATCCCCACACCTGGCACATCCCCACACCTGATACACACACCCACACTTGATGCACTGCCACACCTGACACACATGGCACACACACACACACACCTGGCACACCCCACACCTGACACACCCCACACCTGGCACACACACACACCAGGCACACCCCACACCTGGTAGACCCCCCACCTGATGCACCCCACACCTGGTGCACCCCCACACCTGGCCCTCCCCACCTCTGCACCTTTGGATGACACCATGCATGGGCTTGGTGCTTCCTGGCATCAGCAGGAGACACAGCACAGGTCTTTGTGGCTGTCAAGTCCACACCTCTCCAGGTAGTCAGAGTCTCCTGGCTGGCTGAGGATCCGACTCACAAGACTAACAAAATGTGAAACTCTACTCCCATGAGAGAAGAAGGCACAAACCACCCTCAGTGATCCTGGAAGGTGGGAGGACCCTGGGAGGCAAAGAGGAATGCTCTGCTAGGTGTCACACTGGGCATCCACGCCTGTGAGTCTCCTCAAGGCAGCCACACAAAGTGGGGCTTGAGGATCTGGGCTGTGGGGTCCCAGCCGGGTTCAGCTGTAAAGTCCTCGTGGGCAGTCAGTCAGTCAGTCTGCCATCAGCATTGTGTGTGGATTTTAACCTTGACTCCTGACTGAGGGAACAACTTTGGAACATATTTTAATCTTTTTAGCTCCATTGTTTTCACCTCTCAGAGAGAGGCTAAAATATTTTCACAGATGGTTTCTGTGAGGTGTAAATGGTGATTGTGGCTTCTGTGTTTTATAAGATTTATTTTGTGTATGTTGATTGTTTACCTGTGTGTAGCACATGTGTGTGGTGCCAACAGAGGCCAGAAGAGGGCGTCACATCCCTTGGCACTGGAATTACAGACAGTTGTGAGCTGAAGTGTATGTGCTGGGAATTGAAGCTGGGTCCTCTGGAAGAGCAGCCAGTGCTCTTAACCTCTGAGCCACCTCTACTGCCCCACTGCTTTTGTTTTTATGATTATTAGAGCAGGAGGAGACCAAGTGAACTTCAATAAGGGAACAAGAAGGCTTGAGGGAGATGCACTGAGTCCTGCAAACTCTCTCGTTCTAGAGAGGGCAAACAGCTGTCTAGTCCCACCTTGTGGCCCCCCATTCTCTTAACCTTTGACCTTGATGACCCCAAATCCCCACCATCATCCTGACCTTTGCCCTTTGATGGCTCCAGACCTCCCCCTCCCCCACCATCCTCCTGACCTTTGATGGCCCCAGATCCTGGGAGACTCAGCAGGAAGGCCAGGAAGGAGGCTCCCAGGGCCTCAGCTTTGGTCTGGAACATTCTCTCCTCAGAGCACAGGTTGGGGATCTACACTGACGGACGGCCGTGATCACAGGACAGAGATGAGGAACTGAGGCAGACTGGGGACAGGTGAGACTCTGAACCTGGGCTTCAGGGCTTCAATTGCCGGACAACGGAGGTGAAAAGACAGAGGGTGAAAAGACAGGGGAAATCGGCCGGGGCTGGGTCAGCCAATCAGAGAAGCCGGAGAGCTGACCTGGCTGTTGCTAGGTAAAGGGGCTAGAGAGGAGGAAGAGTTTTCAGAAGCTGGAGACTTGAAGAGGTGAGGCACACACCCTGCCCTCCTGGTGCCCGATGTTCGTACCACGTTCTACTATTTGATAGAAAGTCTTCCCAAGTCCCCCACGTCACTGCCGCCCTCTGACATCAGATTATCTCTGATGTTTTGTCCTCTGTTTCTAACATTTCCCTTTTATTTTATGTGGGAGTGTTTGACCTGTGCGCATGTCTGTACCACATGCGTGCCCGGTGCCCACAGAGGCCAGGAGAGGGTGCCGGATCCCCGGAACTGGAGTCACTGACAGTTGTGAGCCATTGTTTGAGTGCTGGGACCTGAACCCAGTGTTCTCTGTGGGGGCAGCAAGTGTTTTTCACCGCTGAGCCGTTTCTTTAGTCCATCCACTTTATTTTTGAGCAGGGTTCCTCACTGAACCTGGAGCTCCTTGGCTGCCTAGACTGGTGTTCAGCAAGAACTGTCTCCCTGTCTTGGCCTCCCTGGCGCTGGGATCCAGGCTCAGGTCTAACGCTATGCTTTCCTCTGGCGCTGGGGTCCAGGCTCAGGCCTAACGCTATGCTTCCCTGCCAGCTCTTTACTGACTGAGCCATCTCCCTGGCCCCTCCTGTGACTCCTGAACTAAGACATGGCTGTGTTTCCTCAGCTACAGGAGCTGTGCCTTCCTCAGTTACGCAGTGTGAGTCTGGTCGTCACTGTCCACAGTAGCGCGTCCTCCTGTCTGTCAAGGGGCTGGGGTGGGACTGACTGAATGGTTCCAGTCAGGTCAGGGCGCTCCCTTCATCAATGCTGCCTTTGCTTCTCCTCTCACAGACACCTGGCATTAGGAGGTCGTCGGGGTCATGTGGCTGCCCTCGATTGGGTGACAAAGAAGCTCATGTGTGAGATCAACGTCATGGAAGCCGTGCAGGACATCCAGTCAGTGTTTCCTTGCTGGCAGTCGGTGGGATGGGTCAGCCCGGTCCCAACTGGATGACCCCTGGGGTCCTGTCTCCATGAAACTCCTCCCCCTTTCTACCCTGTATTCTGAGCACCTGGGAGTTAAGTGTCTCTGTCTATAGCAGATGAGTGACAAGAAGACTCCAGCTGGGAACCCCAGCGCCTCTAGAGAATTGGAAGTTTTGTTTCACAGATTCTGCATGCCCAGTGGACGCCTTGTGTTATATAATCATTTTCTTCTCTTGATGGAGGACTATATGGCAACGTTCTGTTTACATTTTAATATCTACAAGGAAATGCTGCCAACACAATGTTTTCTTCATCAGAATTTGTGGCCTTGCAAGATTCCTCTATAAATTATAAAGTAGGGAATGACCCCTTTGGAACTTGGTGAAAATACTCGTGATAAACGTGACATAGTCGGATACTTTGTAGGAGGTCGGGCATTGGTAGTTGTTTGTGCTTCTCACTTTGGTTTCCAGTCTGTTCTTTTTCCTGTGGGTAGACAGTCTTGAAGCAGTTTAAGCTCTATTTCTGTCACATGACCTTAACAATATTGCTGTAAGGTGGTTCATATAGGCTCCATTATACAGACAGTCAAAGCCCCCAAAAGAAAACTCCTTAAAATCACATATTTACATAGTTGTAGGTGTGGCATACTCCCAGGTCCGAGGACCCTGCAAGGTGTCCTGCTGACCCCCACCCCCTATCAATATTCTGGGGATGTACCCTGGGACTCCTGTACTCTCCAGGACCAACAGATGTCTGGGAGAAAGACAATGATGGTAGGAGATTCTCCTGAACATGCCCTTGGGCAGAGGTAAAGCAGACAGATGCAGGACTCATTCTGAATTCTGAGATGCTCACAGTAAACTCTTCATAAATCATGCCAGTGAAAGGTCTTTCACACCCTAAGATGACACCTGCTCCATCCCATCCTGTGAGGGCGAGAGAGGGGTTGCAACAGTCCCAGAGATGGGTCAGCATCCGGAACGTCCAGTGGTGCTCAGAGCAGAGAACACATTCTCCCCCAAATCTCACCAAGCACCCAGGTCATTAAAGCAAGCATCACTGTCCTCTAGACTCTGATGACATCTCACCTGCATCACCCACTAAGTGGTCAGGCCTCTCACACCATCTGCCCAGTGACTGGTGACTCACAGGAAGCTCAAGCCTGATTGGATCGTTCCTCAGACTCTGTCCGATTCTGGGGTCGTAGCAGACAACTTTCGTCATAGTCTCTGTTGTTCATCCAGAAGCCCAGCTTAGAGAGTCCTCCAACTCTGGCTACTACTTTTCTTATCGCCCCCACCCTTCCAGCTCCACGATGGTCCTGTGCATCCCTGTGAGCCCCTGGGTAGCAGCTTTGATGGTGTTGCTGAGCAGAGGGATCCAGGGAGGGGCCCCTCCAGGTAAGACGGAACACAGTGGCGACTCTGGAGGGCCTGGGCTCAGGACCTTCCTCTTATAGGACCATGCTGTGAGAAATACTGTGGGGCTTCTCCCACAGCCTGAGTTCTTACTCCCCAGCTAGAAAAGCAGGCTCACCTCCCCACTGCTGTTCAGCCAGTTTTCCCCACTCCCAGGGACACAGACATAGTGAACCAGGCAGAGGTGTTAAGGGGTTGGCATGCAAGTCCTACAGACAACAGGCCTAGAGTTCGAGAATATGTTCACAGGGCAAGGTTTACGGAGGGGTCAGAAGGCTCAGCCTCCTGGGTTTCCCCACTCAGGTCACCTGACTGACTCAATGTTGAGAGAGAGAGAGAGAGAGAGAGAGGCTTCTGCTCCTCCAGGGTGGGGCGGGAGTCTGCGTCTTAGACAACTAATTGAGAGCAGGTGAGGTGGGCTGTGTTTCTTCCCCAGTGGTGTTCTTGTGGAAGGCTAACTTCCCGAGACCCTCGCGATTCTTGGAGTGGGCTGAGAACTGCAGGAGGACAAGATGAGGGTCCTCAGGAGAACGACTGAGCATAGGTAACCAGACAGCCCACTAATGGAAGGCCAGCCTCACGTCCCCATGGCGTGTGTGATTCTGTGGCTGAAGGGATCCAGCATGTCTCAGGAAGCTTCTTCCATTTCCAAATTTACAGCGAGCACTGTAGGAAGAGCTGCAAGCACTAAGTTTACCACATCCCAGGATGGGCCTAAAATGCAGTGTCCTCATTTTGCCTTGTTTTTCTGGAATAAGTGCATTAGAGCCCTGGGGCCTCAGGGTTTCTCCTGTGACATCAGGTGCACTTGCTGGGAGGAAGCCAGAACCTGTCCTTGTTGGTCACAGAAGCCTGTGAGACCCAACTAAAAGGGACTGTTCAGCTGTGGGAGCTGTGCCTTCAAGGTCTTGGGAATGGGAGAGTGATGTCACCGGGAAGGGGTGGATATCGGCAGCAGGGGAGGGAGGCCCTGCAATCTTCAACTTTACCTGCTTCATGGATAACTTACAAAAGTGAAGTTCTGCCAAAGAAAAATTTTAAATTTGTTTTCCTTGCTTGTAAAAACATTAGTTATTCAGCCTCCAAAGCCACAGAGAAACCCTGTCTCTAAACAGCCTCCCCCCCTAAAAAGTTATTGTTGATAAATGAGGAGAAATAATAACTAATGGATTAAAATGATAAGAACCACATCCCGCGTGGGGCAGGCAGACAAGGAGAGGCAGGTGGCTGGAAAGGGGTAGAGAGTGTGCGCAGAATTGAGTCAGAAGTGATGGCACCGGGCTCTGGGCTGAGTGAGAGACACCTGCCAGGGAGGCAGGTCAGGACTGCTGAGTAGAGTGTGGCTGTGGCTATTACAGCACCGGTAGGCTTTCCCACCCTCCCCTCTGCCCTCTGGCCCAGCCGAGCAGGTCCTCCTGAGCCCACCAGGATGAGCCAGTTGTTCTGGCATCACTATGGTAACAGGGAAACACCAGAGCATCCCATAGTCCTCTCTCCCTGCACCTGCACGCCAGGCTTGCTGCTCTTGACCTCACGGGGCTTCCCAGTGTCTGTAACTACAGCAAACAGTGCAGGTTTGTCTGGGTTCTGGGCTCTTGTCTTTGGCTTCAGCCCCTCCCAGTTCATCTCTGTCACACCCTGACACGATAGGGGGAAAAAGTTAATTAATTAACAAGCATAAATGCATCGGGAGTCCCACCAGTGTGCTCATAGTGCAGCCTCGGAAGCTGTGAGATGGAGCAGACTTGATCCTTTAACTTCACATATCCTCTTTTTTTCTTATGAGTATCCAGCTCTCCACAATGCCCCTGCCTCAGCTTCTCAAGTGCTGGAATTACAGGCATGCACCACCACACCAACACCTGGCATCCTTTTAAATGAAGCAATAGTTTGTAGTTTAATTTAGTTTAGTTTAGTTTAGCTTATGTGTTTATTACGTGCAGTGCTGGGAATGAACCCAAGGCAAGCCTCCATTGCCAAGCTGCTCCCAGCCAGTCCCAGGTTATAAAACACGTTAATGAACGGTTTAGAGCGCCCTCTTGTGGTACAAACACACCTTCCGTTTTCTCTTCGGATCTGGGCGAATTGCGTTGGAGCCCATTGGTGGACGCAGAAAGAAGGCAGGGTTTGCTTTGAGTTGCTGATTTTCAGGGGAGTGGAACATGAAAACAACCACACCATCTCCATTTCTCCTGTATGTGTAAGAATAGACAGACCCACAGAGCCTCACACAGGGCAAACAGAATGCACCCACACTGCTGGCAGCACCTAGGAAGAGAGGGAGGGTTCCCATGTCCCTTTTTATAATAGTTATGGGGCCCGTGCCCCTAGGAACGAAGAGACCCACTAGGGCTCTGCTGCAGCGATTTTCAGTGATTAAGGTCCAGGGCAGTATCCCACCCACTCCACCCCTAGACCAAGCTGTCCCAAGATTTACAGCAACCATCCTGCCTCTGCCTACTTAGCACTGGGATTTCATTCAGGTGAGAGATACCATACTGCCGTACCATGTCTTTTTAAAAGTTAATTTCATGCAGGACATTGGTGGCGCACACCTTTAATCCCAGCATTCTGGAGGCAGAAGCAGGCGGATCTCTGTGAGTTTGAGGCCATCCTGGTCTACATAACAAGTGCCTGGATAGGCTCCAAAGCTACTCAGAGAAACCCTGTCTAGAAAAAAAACAAAAAAAAAAAAGAAAGAAAATGAAAGAAAGAAAGAAAGAAAGAAAGAAAGAAAAGAATTTCATGTATTTTTATTTACTTGTGTGTGTGGATGCTTTGCTTGTATGTTTGATGTGCACCATATGTGTCCTTAGTACCCAGGAAGGTCAGAAGAGGACACTGGATTCCCTGGAACTGGAATCATAGATGGTTGTGAGCAGCCCTATGGGCACTGGCAACTGACCCCAAATCCTCTTTGAGAGCATCAAGCATTCTTTTTTGTTTTTTGTTTTTGTTTTCGAGACAGGGTTTCCCTGTGGCTTTGGAGGCTGTCCTGGAACTAGCTCTTGTAGACCAGGCTGGTCTTGAACTCACAGAGATCCGCCTGCCTCTGCCTCCCGAGTGCTGGGATTAAAGATGTGCGCCACCAACGCCCGGCGCATGAAGCATTCTTAACTTCTGTCCATCTCTCCAGCCCTGGTCGTTTTTTTAAGTTATTAGGTAACGAGGTGAATTTTATCATGGCACCTCTGACACACACAGTCCACACAGTTTAAGATCCTGTCTTCCCACATGGAGGCACATGGACTTTTAGACTAAGACGCAGGCTTTGATCTCTTGGAACTGGAGTTCCAGACGGTTGTGAGCCACCATCTGGGTGCAGGTCTTCTGCAGGAGCAGCAAGTGCCCTTAACCACCCAGCCCCTGTCCATCCTCCATAATCATTTATTTTTGAATGCGCTGTCATTGGTGGGTGCCACATGCTCTAGTGGATGGCCCCACAGCCATGCACACACGGACAGCACTAATTGAACTTGGGGTGGGGGAGAGAAAGACAGAAAGGGGAGGAGAGAAATTGGTAGAGGGAAGAGAGAAAGGAGAGATGAAGAGAGATGACAGGGGAGAGAAAGAAGGGGAGAGACAGCGAGAAAAGGGCTGGTTCCCAGCACCCCGGGACTTGGCTTCTGGTGCCCGCAGACAACCACCTGCTGCGCGCACTGCACGAGTGCTACGCGGAGGACAACAGGACTCAGCGCTACGTCATGAGATGTATCTTGGACCGTGAGGAGTTCATGCGCTTCGACAGCACGGTGGGCGAGTTCCGGGCGCTCACCGCTATGGGGCGGCCGTGGGCCGAGTCCTGGAACAGCCAGAAGGAGTACATGGAGCGACGGAGGGCCGAGGTGGACACGGTGTGCCGACACAACTACGAGCTGAACCAGGGCTTCACCGTGAAACGCCGAGGTGAGGGCCGCGCGCGCTCGGAGAGCAAGGCCAGCAGCCCGGGGGACCGACCTGGTGGGGCAGGCGGAGCCTTGGGGTCAAGGGGCCAGGGCCAACCCTGCAAAGCAAGACACAGAGGTGGGAGTGGGGAATGTCAAGAGCCTTGTCATGTCTGGTGACCAGACTGCTGCGGGGTGAAGGGAGCCGGGCCATGGGACAATCGCAGGGTACTGTGGGGAAATGGACTGCAAGTGCATTTCCCAGTAGGACAGGCTGTACAGGAGACACAAGGGGACAATGGGGACTCAGGCCTCAAGGACAGGTGTAGGAAAGTCTGCTGAGTGAGGTCATCTAGGGAGGAGATCAGTCAATAAAGAGAATTAAAGCTGAGGACCGGGACTGGCGCTGGCTAAGAGCAGTCTCTGTGAGGAGCCGGAGACAGGGCAGAGGAGTGTCACAGGGAGAGAGTGACAGACAACAGTAGGACCAACAGCTTCAGGAAGTAAGTGGGCAGAAGTTGGGGGTTGGAAAGCCAGAGAGAGCTGACAGACAGGTAGACCAGGTGGTCAGAGAGTGAGGGAGGAAGGGGTGGGAGCTGTGCAGGATTTTGCACGGCTGGGAAAAAAGGTCCCTGGCTGCTTCCCCCTCCGCTTTTGGAGTAAAGGAGCCTGGTGAGCATCCTGAGGGGACCTGAGGGACCAAAAGCCAGGGGAGAAGGGGGGCTCCACAGGCACAGGGGGAGAGTGAGTGGGGACATGCCCTTAACACTCCCTTTGGAAACCTGGATCCCAGCCATGGGCTAAGCCCTGGCTCCCGGGAATGAGTGAGAATCCAGACAGAATGGGAAGGAGTTAGGACAGTGACCTGAGCTAGAAAAGATGACAGAGTACTAGCTGAGGTGGTACCCAAAGCACAGGGTTTGCCCTTAGTTGCAGGCTGGCATCCTTCAGTGTGCTCACTGACCAGGATGCAGAGAGCCCCGGGTGAATCTCTCCAACCTGACTGTCCTAGACTTGCTCTGCTCAGCAGATTCCCCAGAACCACTGCCCAGATCTACACTTGATGGTGCTGAGATCTGGAAGGTTTTCAGTTAGTGTCCCAGGGATGATGGTGTGACAGAGAAGTGCTGGCAGAGCCTGAGGGTGGTTGTTGTTGCACTGTGTAGCCCAGGTAGGACTAGAGCCATCCACCGGCCTCAAGGAAGTCCTGGAATTACAGCTGGGTGTGCACCACATGGAACTGCAGCTGTGTTTTCAGAGCATTAACTGAGCTGGGAAGAGGAGGAGCTGGAGTTAGAGCAGTGGATAGGGAAATATCATGCTAGCCATAGTAATTGCAGCATCAGTTATAAGAGAGGAAATACCTTTGTAGTTTAATCTTAAAATTACTCAAAATAAATAACCAAATAATTAGCAAAAAAGAAAACAAAATGATTAAGGCTATGAAATTTTTAAAATTTTTATTTTATGTGTACAGGTGTTTTGCCTGCATGTCTGTCTGTCTGTGCAACACCATGTCTGTACTGGTGCCTGTGGAGGCCAGAAGAGAGCGTCAGGTTCCCTGTGACTGGAGTTATAGATGGTTGTGAGCTGCTATGTGGGTGCTGGGGATTGAACCTGGATCCTTTGCTAGAGCAGCTACTGCTCTTAACCACTGAGCCATCTCCATCCCCCGCCCCTTGAGAAAGCATCCCTGTAACTCAGGTTGCCCTTGAATTATGACTTTTTCCCCCTTTAAGCCTCGGGAATGCTTGGACTCCCAGGACTGCATCACTGCACCCATCCGGACTAAAATTCTAGTGTGGATAACGGACAAGATTCTAGAAATAATCATACAGATGTTTAGTGGCCATTCAGCATGCAGCCTTAGGACATGGGAAATCTCGTTTTTTAAGTTGTAAGTAGATTTAGCTCTAGAGCCCTCTAGAAGTCAGTTGTATTACTGCAGGTAAAGTATCTGGCACAAAACAGACAAACTTGAAGTCCAGGAGTTCAAAGGGAGGGGATTGTGTCTTAATTCACAAATCACAACTCAGGAAGGAGTCAACTGAGGAACTGTCAGCTTGTAAAAGTGACCAAAGTGCCTCCAAAAGAGCATCGGCTTGAGCTGCAGAAGGCCGGTGGTGTGGGCAGCTTGACCTGAGGCCAAGAGCTGGGGAGACAATGGACATTGTGAGAAGCGTGTCCCCATGTAGAAACTGGAAACTACAAGGGCTTGGGGCCAGGACTCTGTGGTGTGGAAATCCCCTGCACTAGCCTTTCTGCAGGTCAGACTGTTGGCTTCTGGCCTCTGAGGGGAGTGGCAGACGTCAAAAGTAGCGACTCTCTGGAGGTCACAGGAAGTGGACAGCAGCATGGATGCTGAGTTTGAGCATCAGAGAAGTGGACAAGGAAAAGGCAAGGAGAGAGACGCAGAGACATCATCTGTGGCTTCCTGAGCACCCCAAAACAAGAGAAATTTGGGGATGGGTGAGGATTCCCACACACAGACCTCAGAGTGTTGTTCCAAAGGGGCTGCTGTGAATGGCGAGATCTTGGAGGTTACACAAACCCGAGGCTGTAAAATACATAGAGTGGTTTTCTGAGTCACATCAGACTTGTCTCGTGTATTAGCTTAGGGATGGGCTGGGAAGATGGCTCCCGTTTAAGAGTGAGGATTGCTCTAGCAGAGGACCCAAGTTTGGTTCCCAGCATCCATGACAATGCTACAACCACCTGTGATTTCTGGCCTCCTCAGGCACCGCATTCATCTTTACAAACCCACACACAAACCCACATATAAACAATTACATTTTTTAAATGTTTAAAAACTACTCTATTGGAAAGCCAAAGAATGCTTTTGTCTGCACATTAACTTCAAGGAATTATTTGAGAGCTGGAGAGATGGCTCAGTGGGTAAGAGCACTGGCTGCTCTTACAGAGGACCCAGGTTCAATTCCCAGCAACCACATGGTGGTTCACAACCATCTGTAACTCCAGTTCTGAGGGATCCAACATCCTCTTCTGACCTCCAAGGGCACCAGGCATGCACATGGTACACAGAACATTCATACACATAAAATAATATAAATAAATCTTTAAAAATTAATCTACAAAGAAATTAATCTGAGTGAATCCTACATCCTTCTCACCATGACAAAATGTTGAAAAGGCCCGAGTCTCACCACTGGGGAGAAAAAAATGTCTCCCCATTTGTTCCTGGCTGTCCTGGAACTCACTCTGTAGACCAGGCTGGCCTTGAACTCACAGAGATCCGCCTGCCTCTGCCTCCCGAGTGCTGGGATTAAAGGCGTGTCCCACAGAATCTCACTCTCACACGTTGCTCCTTTCCCACCCCTAGTCCAGCCTAAGGTGCATGTGTCACCCTCCAAGAAGGTGGCCCTGCAGCACCATGGCCTGCTGGTCTGCCACGCAACAGATTTTTACCCGGGCAACATTCAAGTCCGCTGGTTCCGGAATGGCCAGGAAGAAACTGCTGGGGTGGTGTCCACCAACCTGATCCGAAATGGGGACTGGACCTTCCAGATTCTGGTCATGCTGGAGATGACCCCACAGGGTGGAGACGTCTACACCTGCCACGTGGAGCACCCCAGCCTGCAGAGCCCCATCACCGTGGAGTGGAGTGAGTCACCCTGGGGACCCTTCTCCATCCACACTCTGAAGAGCTGGCAGCACCTGTACAAGGTCCAAGGTCCTGCCGTGGGTGTTTGTAGGCTGGGTCCTGATTGCCCCCTGATCACCCCATGATTCCTGGAGACCCCCGAGGTTGGTTCTGAGCTGGAGACATGAGAGGAGAGCCTGTCCCTGGCCTGCGGACGTTGAGGATACCGGATCTGCGCTTGTCAGGAAGTCCAGGGAAGCAGACATCCCCTGCTATGCCCTCACACCAGGCATGACTTCCGCATTCTGTCTGTAGTCTGTCCTTGTTCTGAGAGGCAGCTGCCAGAACCCATGCCCATGTCCATTACGACACCAGCCTAGGTCAGGATCTCAGAGTCCTCCTTCATTTTCCTCCCCATGATGTGTCCCTCTCGGTGACCTTCATACTGGTACCCCACATCCCTACCAGAGGGCAGTAGGGAGTGTGTGCCTGCTGGGCAGGATGCAAACCCTGGATCTCCTTTCCAGAGGTCCGGTCTGACTCTGCCAGAAACAAGATGCTGACGGGAGTGTGTGGCCTGGTTCTTGGACTCATCTTCCTGGCGGTGGGCACCACCATGCACCTGAGGTGCAAGAAGGGTGAGAAGTGTGTGGAGGAGCAGCCTCCGACCGCAGCAATGGCAGGAGGGTCGCAGGTTCAAGGCCTGCCTGGGCTACACAGTGAGACTTGGACTTAGAACAGACACCAAAGATGTGAAATACAGAAATCTGGCGGGTGGCTGGGGCTAGCTTAGAACCATGGCAGGTGGCTGGGGCTAGCCTAGAACCATGGCAGGTGGCTGGGGCTAGCCTAGAACCATGGCAGGTGGCTGGGGCTAGCCTAGAACCATGGCAGGTGGCTGGGGCTAGCCTTTCCCTGATACACCCTCCCATTCACAGAAGGGCCTAAGGTATAAAAGTGTGCTGGAGAGTTCTAGAAGCCACTGGAATTGGTATCAGAGCAAAGTTGTCCTGTAGGGAAAAAGGAAACCCCAGCCTGGGGTGTGACCATTACATCAGAAGGTCCCCAGGCATGAGCCTGGGAACACACAGTGAAGGAGAGGAAGGTGGGATAGCAAGGGTCTCTCGCCATCTAAGGAGATTTAATGGCTGAATACATCCCCTTTACCCCCTCATTCAGCTCAGCTGAGAGCTCCAGGATCTCCATGAGCAGGTAAGATGCTGTGTCTGTCTCTTCGTGGTCAGAAGATCTCAGGCCTGAACTCCCCTCTCTGGCCCAGCTCCCAAGGGAGCGTGGGGGAGGAGTGGGGTTCCCACCACTGAGGAAGGAAGCTGGGGTAAGTTGTTCTTTAAAGAATATCGATTTAGTTTTATTTTTCGAGTGAGTGCCTCTATGCATGTGTGTCTGTGAGCCATCTGCATGCCTGGTGCCTGTTGGATCCTTTAGAACTGGAGTTACAGATGACGGTGAGCCGCCATGCCGGTGCTGAGAACTGAACCTGGGTCCTTGGCAGGAGTAACAAGTGCTCTTAACCTCTGAGGCTTCTCTCCAGCCCTCAACACTGTCTTACAAGGTCATAATTTCTCTGACCTGGGACTTAAAGGAGGAGGAGGTGTCAGAGACACGGTGACTTGTTTCCCTCCACAGTGCTTAGAACAAAGCTCTTTTTGTGTCACGTGTGTGCACACACGCGTGTGCATGCACACGCACACACAGGGGGGCTGGGAACTAGACACACTTTTCAAGGGCATATCCTCTCTGACTCCCTCCCTCCAACTAGGTTCTGCCTGCCGTGGTGTCCACCAGCTCCTAGCAGTCCATGAACTATGAACCATCAACAGAGGCTGGAGAGAGTCTGCTCAGCAGTTATGCACTTGCTAGAATTCCAGAGGACCCTGGCCCAGGTCCCAGCATCCGTGTCTGACGGCTTTCAACTGCCTGTAAGTCCAGCTGCAAGGCATTGTAAATGCTCTTCCGTCTTCCATGAGCACGCACACGCACACATAAATACAAATAGGAATAAATCCATCAAAGGGTAAATCTTCTGACAGAAACCAGGCCTTGTGACTGCTCGCCTCTGAACAAAACTGTGTCAGGGACCAAGCCATTGACCCGTGAGCCTTTGCGGAAATATTCCAGATCCAGAAATATTCCAGATCCAAACCCTAACCTCAAACATGGCCTCAGAAAATGCAGGGAGCACCCTCCCCAGCAGAAGTCTCTGCTGTCAAATGTGTCTGTCTGTCTGTCTGTCTGTCTGTCTGTCTGTCTGTCTGACAGCAAGGCAGTCAGAGGGTCAGGAGTCCATCACTTAATTTCAATTTAAATGATTTAAATTTAAGTGAAGCTATGAACGACCCAGTAGCTGCCTCAGTGGGCAGACTGGATTTATATTATTCGTCTAAGGCTCTCTGAGTGGGTTTTATGGGAATGGGTGCAAAGACAATGCTAGAGAATTGGAAAAATGAAATCACTGGAGAACGCAGGGCGAACGGAGATAAAGCATCTCTTGTGGCTCATTGGCTCTCAGGATATTAATCCCCAAAGCGTAACAGACCCATTAGCAAGCTCACAAAGTTACAGAGGAAGCGAGCCCCAAGCTGTCAAATTACCAAACACTGCCCACCCAGTTCAGTAGACACAGAAGCCATCGAATGCCACAGAATCACTGTTGTCGTTTGATTGTGAGATATCCCACATGGTCTCATGAGTGTGAGATATCCCACACAGGCTTGTGAGTGTGAGATTTCCCACACGGGCGGTGCTACTAGAGACTCACAGCTGGCGGTGCTACTAGAAACTCACAGAATCTTTAGGAGATGGAGCCTTGCTGGAGGAAGTGGATTGCTGGAGGGTTGGTCTCACGGTTTTACAGCCCAACCCACTTCCTGTCTGCTCTCCAGTTCCTGACTGCTAAGGGAGTGTGACCAGCTGCCTCAAGCTATTGCCACGCCTCTTCCACCATGGTGAACTGCATCCCTAGGAACTGTGAGCTGGGATAAACCCCTCCTCCCTATGAGTTTCTTGTTAGGGTTCTGGTCATAGCAGTGAGAAAAGGAGCTAATACAAACACTAAGGCAAAGAATACATAAGATTTAAGAACTCACTTCTTGGGGCTGGAGAGATGGCACAGTGGCTAAAAGTACACATTGCTCTTGCAGAGGGCTCAGTTTGAATCTCAGAACCACATCAGGCAGATGACAACCACCTGTGACTCCAGCTCCAGGAGACCCACCCTCCGACCTCCACAATCAGCTGCACACACTTGGTGCAGATAAACTCACACTAGTGCACACACAAACAAACTCTCTAGAAGAGCACGCTTCAGTACTTCAGTGCCTTTGACATATCCTCCGAGGTCAAGAGCTTTGCCTGAAACCTGGGTCCTCTCACAGGATGGGATGAATCACAAGCTCCCTCCTCCTAAGTCTGGTCCAGCACTGGTGTCTGGGGATGCTTCACACTGTAGTCAAAACATTTTAGACAAAAAATAGTATTTACGAATTCTAAGCCAGGCATATTGGTCCCCACCTGTGATCCCCAACACTTGGGAGGCAGGGGCAGGAAAGTCACCTGCAGGTTTGATGCCAGCCCCGGCTACAGAGTGAGACTCTGTCTAAAGAGAAAAGAAGAGCAATCCCCATTGAGACCGAGGAAAACCTTCGATGAGAAGAGTTGGCCTCTGCCTGACTTCCATGAAGAGACGTGCACAGCAAGAGAGTGTGTCGCCATGAGTCCCACACTTGCTGGAGTGTTCCTGGTTTCTGAGCCCTTCAGAGATGAAAGAGGCTGGGGCCATGACCTTCACAGGAGCTGCCAGAGAGTGGAACATGGGGTGCATTCTCTCATCCCCTACTCTTGGGAAAACTAGACAGCTCCGGGACAGTTTAACATGCACTACAGAATAAGCAGGGAGCTGACATGGTTGTCTCCACTGGGGGAAAGGGAGCTATTTTGTTGCTTTTCACTGAGGCTAAGACCTGATTTGTTCTCACACCTGGGCTGCTCAGGGAAGTATCCCCATCCTTCATTTAAAGTGTTGTGTGATACCATTCCTGACATGTGAATTAACGTCTGCTCACCCCAGACAGGGAACCAACAACAGAACAAAGTAAGGACGCCACCATAGTCCAACCAGGGGCACCAATAAGTTAGGTCTATTGGGGCTGCTATGGAGAGTAGACGAGGGATTACGAAGGGGAGTCAATGACAACTACACTGTCAACAATCCACTCTCGCGGTTGGCGGCTCACAGAACTGGAAAGCACGGCACCACCAAGCAGCCTGGTGTGCTGGGACTTCTCTCCCAGCTGCTCAGCAGGTCTGAGTGTCTCAGCAGTCCTTTCTGCTTATATGCACTGGAAGGGAAGATCCTGGTGAGTCCAGTCAGTTTCAGGGGCTTCTTGGAGCTTTTGAGTTGTTCACTTCCTGAGTTTTAAGGAGTTTCCCTGAAGGACGGAATGTCCCCCTTCCTTCACTCTGGCTTGAGTCTTGGCACTTCCTTACAAGCTGGAATGTGACACAACAAAGGACCAGAGACAGCCCGAAATGCCACTTCCCACGAAACTGCCATTAAATACCAATAGGACAGTCAACCAGCATGTAAGGCTGGGTGGTGTCACCTCCTCTCAACAAACTAGAGGCTCTCAGAAGCCCTCCAGGAAAAAGGTGGCATGTGAGTTTCACGGCCCTGCCACATCAGGCTCACAGGAACAAGGGCCACACCCCTCAAACCTGGGTCTCTACTCCGCCACACAGAAACTTCCTTGGGAGGCAGTTAGAGCCTTGTCCCTCCCTCTTTCCCTCTCCTCTCCATTTCCTCCTAACCTGGTCCATCTGAAACTGTACCCATCCAAGATAGAGAAGGGAAGGCCACAGCCTTCTAGGATATGCAGCGGTCCGGGGGACAGTGGCCCAAGTGTATTATTCATGGTTTTTGTCCTGCTGTTTGTGGTAAGGCCTCACACCATAGCCAGACGGTCTCTAACTCACAGTGTAGCTTGGGTTAACCTCAAACTAAGCAATCCTCCTGCCTCAGCCTCCCCAGGTTCTGGATTTGCAGAATCTACTGCCACTCCTGGCGTTTAAGATTATTTAACTCATAAATCAGAGATGTCCAAAGCCAAGAAGCAGCTGCGAGGGTGTGACAGGCCTGGGGACTGCCTTTTGGCAATTTCCCTCACCTCCTTATTCCTCCTCTTTTCTAAGGCACCAACAGGATGGTGGGCTGTGTGGCTGTGTTGCCTCCCTCGCCACAGTTCTGTCCTATTCTTGCCTGTTCCCGTGACACCAATGTCTCCCTCTAATTTGAGGTTTTAGTTGAACTTGGAGACTGAAATCTTTCTAGAACAGTCACCTCCTCCAGCAGCTGGTGTGTTCTGTCCCAGCCAGACCCACTGTGGGACCTCAAAACCTTTGATCAATTGTCACTTTCTTTCTGGTTCTCCTTCATCCCTCTGCATGCGTGCATGCACACCCACCCACCCCCACACACATGCACACACCCCCACACCTCCCCACATGGGCACAAAAACACACCCACACACACACACACACACACAAC